TTGGCCAAATGCTATGCTTTCACAGCGCTAAATCTGAACACAGATATTATTATTATTTATTTATTTAACTACTAGTTGATTAGCTGTGACTTTCGCTATGGTGATTGAGAATGCTTTCTTCCCTGCAATGATTTGACATGTTGAACATGTGAACTAAACTGGCTGCAGTGTAGCCCACATTCCCTTGTGCTTTCTGTTTTGCAAACAACAGGCCGTGAACAAATGTCTTGAACCTCTGCAGTGTTCGCTCATTCCTACATCGTGCCACATACTGTTATCAGTGGTTTGTGACATTCATCAAAACCAGAAAGCAGTGTTATTTCACTTGAGAAGTGTGTTCTTTTCTTGACGTGTATGTTAGTGTCGCAGTTAAGCTGAATGTTAAAGCATTAACATTGTTTTATTGCTTTGGCAATAAAAAACAGATAGACTTTGTTCAGAAAAGAAAGTCAAGGTGAGGAACAGAAAGGAAATGACTAAACAGAAGGAATATGTTTTCCTTGTTCTTGAAATTCTTCTGCTTTTGTTAAGAATTAAGTACAGCAGAGGAAAATGATGCCAGAAAAAAAAGGCTTGGTGAATCTAGTAAAGGGAGATTAGAGAAAAAACGGGCCCTTGTTTTCTTTCCATACAAATTCCTGGTGAAGTTCAGACCCTGGACTTTTCTCTGATTGCATTAAGGATAAGGTAATTGATAGTAGTTCAACGGGAATTAGCATCATAGAGAGCACATCAGATTAAAACCTCCAAGTCCATTTCTAGTTTGTTGATCCTTATGTAAGAGTCCAGAGCTTTCCTACCAAAGCTTTCTTGTGATACTTCCTAACTCACAAAAATAGATTCAGATTGAATCTGAAGGTGTTTGGTTTCTAGGCTTGCTTTCTGATCTCTCAATAGATGCTGTCTGTTATTTTGTTTTTACTTGTGAATGAGCTGCCCTGTTGTTCTTTTTGTAGCTTTCCTTTATTTGCATTTTTGATCATATCTCTTGCTTTTATTGCTGTCCTCTCTATTCTGTTTAACAAATCCCTTTTCAAAAATTTTCTTAATATATTACTCATAATTTTCTTTTAGTATTTCCCCCTTGTATTTTTCTCCACTGTCTACTTTTTATTTTAAAATAGCCAACATTGTACAAAGGAAATTCAATTAAATGCTCAAATAAAAATAATGCTTATAATAAATACATTTTCTTGTAATGGCAAGTCAGAGTTCTGCTCTGTGCTCTGCATCTGGGACTCCACCATTGTGGGCAGATGCTCATTCCTGCAGTGCCTCTGTACAAAACTGGTCTGGTGACCAGGATCCGGATTATTCCTGAATGATGGATCTAATCTAAATTTTTCAGTTTCGTAATCAAGATGATAGTGATTTAACGTATCAGTTCTGTTGCGATGTAAAATATCTTGAGCTATAAGCTCTCTCCTATTTGTTGAAGCAATCTATTCATTCGAAAAGGGAATAAAAATCCAAGTTTACCTTATGTGTTTCTTTGACCATTACCTTCCTAGTCTCCGTAAGATTGTTGTAACACTGATCTACTGGTGCTAAACAGTCCTGGCAAACTTGAGTGCTGGTTATAAGACTTTTACTAATTGTACTAAAGTAAACAGCACTAGTCTGCACATTTGTGGCTAACATCACATTTGAGGGCATTTTCTCACACTCAAATTTGAAAGGCAAATTTAAACTCTCATATGTTTTTGCAAATACCGCAAATATGGTAGAATTATGCTATTTTACACCATGTCTTTATTTCTTTGGGAAGAATCAGAATTGGGAATATCAAATCTAAGACCTATTGGCAAAGTTTAAGGAAGAGGTTAAAGATTTTGATCCCACTACAAAATTATTATCTGAAAAAATATTATTATCTTGAGTATGAGCCGTTGGTTCATAGTAAGGATCTCATCCAGCGAGCTTTGGGGTTGGTTAGATGTGGAGAAGTAATACAGGTCTCTTGCCAGGTTTAATATATATCAGCATTGAAGATGAGGTTGCTAAAATCCTAGAAGGAGGACAAACCTATCTTGAAAATATGAAGTTGAAAGCAGTGCATTTCTCAAGTAAGTCTGGGCTGGTGACACATACATTTGTTTTATTCCCAAGCCAGCTTTGTATACAAAATAAAGCAGTAAAAATTACTGGTATTATGATGCCTGGTCTAGCTTTGTGAGTCAATGATTTTTTTTTTCCTTTCCACCATTCTACATATAAATACTGAGAAACTTGGCATAAAGAACGCAGCCTGGGGCATAGCCCATAAAACTTACAATGCAATTAAATGAGCAATTTCTACTGGAAATAAAATGGGTATGTTGAGTAGAATATGAATTAAACCGAGCAAGAACCGAGTCAGACAACCCTTCATAGTCCTCCAGGCTCTTCAAAGGAACCCCTGGGGTCAGCAGGACCAAAGGCAGCTGACAGGTCAAGGCCAATCAGTAAAGAAAGATAACTGCAGTTTGCAATGAAAAGCAGGTCATTCCAAATTTTGATTAATGTAGTCTCAATGCTATGGTGTCCACTTGAGTGGGTTAGCAAAATAAAGACAGATAGCAGTGGATTAACTCTAGCACTTCTTTGTTATCCCGCAGCCCTTACGAGCTTCTCTGCCGCATGCACTAAGACTAGGTTTTCTCCAATTTATGATCCTTCATCTTACATTGCCATCTGTCCTGAAATCTGTGGAATCGGCTCAGCTCCCAGGGGCTGCCCTGTTGAGTATTTGCAGGCTGTTGAAATGACCTCAGAATAACTCTGGGACAGGGCAAAACAAGGGTGGTGGTCTTTTATGTTATGGTGAGTTGATGTTGGCAGTGTGTTTATCCTGTTGAGCATATGGCAAAGAGGTGTCAACTCCCACGACTTTGTTAAAGCATGGGGGCAGCCAATTTGTTGTGCGTTGGCGGTTTTTGTTAGACAAAACAAAGATCCAAAGCCTTTGGCTGCGGAATGAACTCCAAGCGCAACCTGCAGGCGGCACAAGTCTGAGAATTCCGGATGCAACCTGGAAATATCGCCAGAAAATCTTCCGTCTTGTGAAAGGGAGAATGCGATTCCAATCTGTGCTCCTTGTTTTTTTTTTTTTTTTTAAATTCATTTTATTTTTCAAATAGAAAAGAAACCAATCTGCCGCCTTCATTCTTTTCTGTTCTAAGATAGGAAAGAAGTGTTTGCATTCAGGCTGGCCAGCGCAGGACAGAATTATTTACAGCACAAAGGACCTCTATTGGTGAGGGGCAAAATTCCACAGCAAATATGAAGCCACTCAAGACATTTAAAACACCAAAGAATTTGATGTAGTGGTAGGTTCTTTTCATTACTTTCCAGCCGTATTTTTTTCTTCTTGGAAGGTAACAATTTGTGCGGTGCTGCTTTGAGTACCTGTTAGGATTTTGTTTGTTAACCAGTCCGCTAGTTGGGAATGGGTCACTGTAACGGGTAAGTGGCGGGATGGAGCCCAGCCAGAGCACAGGGAACGTGCAGATTAGGTTCACTCGTTCCCATTAGCACAGAGATGTCTCTATAAAATTACACAGGAGGTGACCTTTTTCTACATAGCCTCCAGTGTATGTTATTCTGATTTTTTTTTTCTATGGAGAAAGGGAATATCTATTGAACAGTAATGGGTAGAAAGCTATTGGCTAGAGAATGCAATGACTCAACTGCAGAATTTGTACCTTGCTCTTCAAGGTTTACATTATCTTCCCTCTTGTCTTATGGAAGATTGCAAAAGTGAATATATATCACTTTATATCAGCTATGCTGTTTATCACTTTATATCAGCTATGCTGTTTAAGGGTATCAGGGCCGGAAAGGCAGAATTTTCTTGGAGTGACTGCTATTTTAGATACAGAAATCTTGTCTGTATGTGCCAGGTTGCACAGGGACTTTGCTTGGACTGCAGCAGGGGATCTGCCCTCTTTGGGGAGAAAGCTTCATTTACTTTTAAAGCAAGAGCATTTTCTTACACTACATAAGTATTTCAGTGTCTACTCATAGCCCAGCTGACATGCCAGCCACAGATAGGATGTACTTGTATATTAACAGATGGTGTGTATGGTGTTATGTGAACATTGATGTTTTTATACCCTATCCTGGGAATAAATATAAAATCCATCGGCAATTAGCAACAGTTGCCTGGTTGGTCTCTGTTAGGGTCGGGCAGTGGGTGAGCAGCCTGCCAGCTCCCTGCTCGCAGCTCTGCCGGGTCGGAGCAGAGCCGGGAGCCTGCGGTTGGGTCCGGAGCACCGCGGGGAGGGAACGGAATCCCAGCCGGAGCCCCCCGGGCTCCAGGGCCGAGCGAGCACCCAGTGCAAAAGGGAGGGAGCCGGGCTCTGGGACGTTCGTTAGCTGGTGCCATGTAGCCGTTTCCTCGGGAAGAAACGCAAAGCGGCCTCTGAGTTTAACTGGGACAGAAAAGCCCAATAGCCGGGGTGGTTTATCAGGGTTCGTTCCCCCTCATAATCCAACATCTTGACCTCTGCAATCTCCCATTTGGTAGCAAAAATGCCTGACTCTGCCATCTGTGCTCAGAACTGTTTATTTTCATTTAATAAAAGCAAGCCCTGAGCCCATTAACTGTTATCCATTTTCCTTTACAGGGTGTATCTTACCAGCCATCGCTGAGAATATTGCTTTCAGACTCATTTCAGTTTATAGCCTCAAATATTTCTCATTTGCTTTGAATAATTGTTTTCTGTTGAAAATTATGTAGCTGGCTTGTTAATTAGGAAAATATAAATGGGACCTATCACTGCATTTTTAAAGCTGTGGTGCCAGCTAGTGGTGAGAGATGATAGACAGCATTTCAAGCTTGACATTTATGGAAGTGTACAGTGCATTTTTATTTGCATAATGATAATGTGACATTAAGTTTCATTGTCAGCTTTCACTACTTTGTGACTGAAAAAAAAAAAGGGAAAACCAGCAGCTACTATCAATTTCCAGTCAGATTTTAATTGGGAATTGTTTATTTGAAACCTTCCTAGCGTTACTGATGGAAAGACGGCGTCATTCGTCAGACCGTTCGCCGGGGAAGGCTCTCGACCTCGGCCTCCCGATTTGCCGGGCACTGCCGGGAGCGCCGCCTTTCCCCAGCCTCGCACCAGGATTTGGTGGGAGGCTGCCGGGAAGCGCTCGGGCTCTCCCTGCGCTTGCTCCACTTGCCAGCACGGAGAGCAGCCCAGTACAGCGTAAAATTCTCCCTTGTTTAGACTCGCTTGCAGCCGGTGCACCACGCTAGGGCGAAAATCCTGGGTTTTATTAGCATATAAGGAAAATTAAGACAATTCATTATTATTTTCTGCATTCAAATCAACTCGGAAAAGGAGAGTTAGCACACTCTAAGAAGGTTTGTAGAGAAATGGGAAATATTTTTTATGTTTTTCGAACAAAGAGTCATTGACAGGCCATTTTTTCTAGTTTAATTAAGCAATAACTGATCTCAGTAAGGTTGTGGAAGGCTCTTGAGTACTAATAAATAAAGCTGGAAGCTGAAGCATTTCTTTCATTAAATAGTGGGAGCTGTTTATAACTCTATTACTTACTGCTAAAATCAATTATTATTACTAATACTCTACAAGTAATTTATAACTGAAAGTGCACTGAAGGTTGTAAAGCAGAACTTTTCTTTTTAAATGTCAGGCATCGCCATGAAGGTCAGCTATTGTGAATAAGGACACCTCAGATGAACACACTTGTAATAATATTTGTGAAGATAGATCTCGTGCTAGTGACAGCTGCAAGCAGTGAGCAGAGCTGGCACAGGCTTGGCTGCCAGTCTCGTGCATGTGACTGCACTGGTGTAAAAATACACGGCTGTTTCTAATCCCAGGAGGTAAAGAAGATGGCAGATTTTGTAGATTTAATCAAGGGATACAAACACATGGGCAATTTATTTAAAAATATGCTTGAAATATTGACACAACAAATAACTTTCTGTTATTAAAACATTATCCTAATAGGTGTGAAAAAAATTCTGGAAGCCAGTGCTTATGTTTGTCTATTTGCATGTGGGTCCCTGGACTACCCTGGTGGTATTTCCAGGGTGGGCTTCCCTTTGGTCCCCTTTCCATAGGCAGTGTATATGTGACACCTGCTCACTCTCTGCTTTTTTATCGATAAAACAGAGGCTGTTCTAATTCAACGCTAGAGGAAATACTTAAATAAAAAAACCTCTATCTCTTAATGCATTAAAATGCAAGCATGAGTCTTAACTATATATCTTTCGTGTGCTTCCCTAATGTATCACTTAAGTATAAGCCTTATGTTTGGGATATTCTATAAGTTGGCACTATGTCTTGAAATTTATGTAACTGTTGAATCAACAAGGCTTAATACTTCAAAGAACGTGGCGTGTGTTACCCAGTTGCGTAGCCACAGGAGGTGAGGAGCAAACATGGATGTGTCGGTGAACAGGGGACCAACAAGTGGCATTCGGCTGGTTCAGCTTCTGGATTTGGTGTTTTTAATTATGTAGATGTCCATAAATATTCTATCAGCTGGATGTTGTATGCTCCTAGAACACTATACGTATGCTGTAATTCCTTTTCTATTAAGGGGTTTCTATTGCTTTGTTAAAAAAGAAGCAAACAAACAAAACACTCCTTTTCATCTTCAGAAGCCCTCTGGATTTGTTTGTTCGTTTGTTTGTTTTTTAAAGGAGCTTCGTTGCTTGCAGAGAGGAGCGGCCACCGGAGCGCCTAGGCCCGAGAGCGCCGCGGAACAAGGCCCCTCACCAGGGCTCCCAGGCCCCCGTGCGCTTCTGAGCGACACCCGTCTGCAACCCCATCTTACACCGTCTGCAAACGGGACATATTGAATTTAGTACCGGCGCAGTTCTGTCCCAGCACAGTGTCCCCAACAGAGCTCACGATATCTTTCAAATGCTGACCGTATCCGATATCAGGATGTTTCCATAATGCTGTAAAGCCTGTGGCGCACTGAATTCCACTGCATTTCTAATATATTTTATATTTGCAAAGCCTTCACTTCAGGTTCGCTTTCATACTGCCAGGCTCGGCAGTCACTCGTGCAGTATTTCTCTTTCTTTCCTTTGTGTTACACGGTGTTTCTATCCCGGTTGGTACATGTTTAACGGGGAGTTTCGTTAGC